ATATATTGTCAATTTTCGGGGATCAACAATAAAGAAAAAAAATTCAGGGATTAGTGATTGTGGAATTCGCGTGCAGCATTCTGCACTGAGAGAAAGACGAGTAAGTTCTCAAACAAGTCTGTTTGGGCCAACAAAATCGTTAGTTGAAAATTATCAAAAAAATTATTGTTTGGTTCGAATTTGAAAATCTCAAACATGAGTAATTGCTCTGCGTTCAATAACAACGAGATATTAGGCTCAAGAGGCGGATCATTCATACAAGACGGTGCGTTTTCACGATAAAAATATCTTTTATAGAGGGAAGTTTATCAAGAAATATTTAGTCTCTAAGTTACAAGATTGCTGTCATATCATTATTATTGTTTCATTTAAGAATTCATTTTTTGTCTGTGATTATTGAACAGCCGAAACGACAAACGACTATCCCTCGTTTCATATAAAACGAGCAGAATGCATATGGGAGCATCGAATAATGAAGAAGTTGTGCTAGAAATTACATTTCTTGCTTGCACAGAGAATAAAAGTTTTTTGAAAAGACGAAATCTTTTTGCGCGATAAAAATTTTAAATCTCGGGGTACGCCTTCGCATGTTTCGGACAAAAAACCTTTTTTGATCATTTTGAACAAACGTTTTTTTTTGGCAGCAGTAAGACTCGTTGGAGAACTCTGTTGTTTTTCTCTTAGTGTGGAGATCAGTGGTTTTGTCACTAATTTTCAGGTACTCATCTCAGATTTTCATGAATCTGTCACCAAATTTCAGTGATAGAAATTACTGATAAACAGAATTGTTCTAGTCAGGGTCGAGTATCACCAATAATCGGTGATAGATTCCTACAAATCAGTGACATGTTCTTGGAAAAAAAAAATCGCTGTGCAGAAAAATAGAACATAATTGATTTATCGCATTATTAGTGTGTATGCACCGGATGCATATAACCCGAGAACATAAGGATACGCATGTGTACCCAACACACATTTTGAGTTGGGATCGAAAATAGTTTTCCGCGCGCTTGAAAGAGAGGAATCGCAAGGTCTGGAGCAACAGACTGGAAGGCGCGTCAAAGTGAGGATTGCGAAAAGTTCAGCGCGCTGTCCTAAATATTTACGTAGAATGCTTCCTCTCCACACCCGTTACGTTGTTCATTCCCGTATAATTGTTGATGTTGACAATTCATAAGTTTCCTTTTATGCACTAATTGTTATGAACAAGTTGTGTAATGGATATCAAATTTTTTATTTCGAGATTAATTTCATATGGGTCGTAATTCAGAGCATTATGAGGAATATTAATGTCTGAGGAATATTAATGTTTCTTACATTCAAAATCCTAACTTGGAATAAAAAGAAGTCATCATTTTCTATTATTTATTTTGATATTCTTCAATTATTACTCAAAACACACGAAAAAATTTCATTGAAAAACCTAGGGAATTTGCTAGACAATTCTATTAGATTTCTATTAAACTTTTTATTAGTTTTTGGCCGATTTTATGGAAATTTTCAATAGCAAATATTCTGTAAATAAGTCAATAGAATTCGATTTTTCTATAGAACTTATTCTATTGAGTTATTTTCTATCTTTTCTTTTCAAACTCGACTTCTGCAGGGTCTAATATAAAATATTATAGATCACTCGCGCACAAACTTCGTTTCCAACGAATGTGAGTACCAGAAACTAAAAATTTCACAGAAAGACCTAGCGAAGTCGTGAGACAATTCTCTAGGATTTTTATTGAACTTTCTATTAGCTTTTGATCGATTCAATTGCTACGTTCAATAGAAAATATTCTACAAAAAAGGCAATAGAATTCGATTTTTCTATTTAATTTATTCCATTGAGATATATTCTATAAAATTTCCTCGGCTTAAATTTTCCAAGTTTTTTGATTAATTTTCTCGGTGAAAAGAAAAGAAGAATAGAATGACAAAAACTTGAAAAATTTGAAGCGACGAAATTGTTTCGAAAATCTCTCAATAGAATAAGTTGTATGAAAAAATCGAATTTTACTGACTTTTTCCATACAATATTTTCTATTGAACATTTTAATCGAATCGGCCAAAAACTACTAGAAAGTTCATTGGAAATCACTATAAGTGTCTAGCGAATTCACTAGGTTTTTTTATTTTTTTTTTTTATGTATGAGCGCAAATAAGAGAAAATTTGTCTGGATTTAGGTATAATTAAACCAAATTTAATAAAAATCACTGAGAATTCGACATTTTTCGCTGGTTCCAAGGAAAGATTTTCGTAAAATAATTAAAAATTTCACTTTCTCTCGGAATTTTTTGCCCACTAGATTTCAGAATGATACAGTCATAGAGTGCAGAAATTTTTACTGGAAACGAGAAACTTTTTCCTCTGTATTGAATACCAATAAAGTTTTATAACATTCTCAGTAACGAATAAAAATTTGGATCTTACGTATTACTTTATTATAGTCGATGAGTAGACGATGTAGTGTCAAATAATAAATTACATAATATATCAACTGCTTACACAACGGTGAGACAGGTCCATTTAATTGGACACCTCCGAAAACAGCCGCCGAAAACAGTTAGTGATGGTGAGTCGTTAGTTGAATGTTTTGAAATACGCGATACAAAATTGTAAATGTCACACATTCCCCATAATTGAAATGGAAAATCTCAATCATTTTCTCCGTGCTACGCGGAGAAAAAGGAGACCGGATAAATCATCAGAGAATAATGTGAAAATTACCAGAAAGTACCGCAATCATGAAACGATACGTGACCTTGGTGAAAACACTTTATTCGGTTTCTACCATCAATATTCAGGGAACGTTATTAAAAATGACGTTACAGGAATTTGAAATTGCACGCTGCCTACTATGATGGAAAAATTCAGTGATGACAGCATAAAATTACGTGATCATCACAAAAAAAGAGGAACAAAATGAATTTGAAAAAAGATTTTACTCTCAGTAAAGCCTCTGGATTTCTGTATTCTGTAGGTTTGAAATCTGGACAGCAAAAAGGAATTAAATTGAGGCATCATTTCTCTTATTTCAAAGCAATCTTGGGTTCGAAATTTAGAATCTTTGTGTTCTTAAAATAAAAACCTTGGAATTTTTAGTTTAACATCTTTTTGCTTCCGAATGAAAGCATTGTAATAATCCAATTTTGACATTCTCTAATTTTGATTGGAAGCGTAAAAATAGGAAGTTTGACGACCATGTCTATACACTGTCAAAAATTTTGGTCTTAAATTTCCGGTACATTTTTTGGAAATTTTCATCAAATTTAATTACCACTGAAATTTCAATAAATTTCGTCACTGAAAATTCAGAATTTCGTGGAAAAATCATAGAGAAGTGTCAACTTTAGTTCCATTTTGCACTGAAAATGAATAGAAAAGTAGAAAAGTCCGGTATTCCAGTTCTTGAATTTTTTTTTAAATCACGAAATTTCAGATCTCACTGAAAATTCAATGTAATTCAGCACTGAATATTCATATTAGAGTAGAAATTCAAATAAATTAAGGAATTCTCGTCTTTATGCTGCTTAAAATTCAAAAATTTTACTGAATTTCCAGTGAAGCCTGAAATTTCATGATTTTTCCCCCTAAATCACATTCAGTGTCACTGTCCTGAAAATTAGTAGTCGACTGTCCATGAAATTATGTTTTTTCTAACAGTGTATGTGAGGGATGTCCGTCGCCACCCTCCCGATTCTCAATTCTCAGAAAATCAAGTAAATAAGTGGCTAAACTAATTCCAAAAATCTGAAATTTTGTCAAATTATATGTGTTGATGAGGACTAACTCTGTGCAAAATTTCAGCCCGATCGATCTACTAGTTTTTGAGAAAAAGCGGTTCGTTTTTAAATAGTTTTCCGAAAATATCGTCAAAACTAGTGGATCAATTTCGATTTTTTTTGTGTTCAAAATGTGCACTTCGATGCCTCCTACCTAAATCAATCAAAACATATGTACCCGTTCGTATAAAGTTTTTGAGATATTCCCGTTTTTCTGTTTTTTCATAAAAAAACTTTGTAATCACGCTAGGTTGTGCAAGAATCGAGATATCAACTTGAAATTTGGACAGAAAATATGTATACCCGCCCATACGACGTATTTGAAACATTAGACTTTTTATAACACCCATGTTGGTGGCAGCAAACATTTGAAATTTTTGCTGCTAGTTAGTGTAGTAAAACTGTAAACTTTTGTAATAATTTCAGCCCATTCGTAAGGCCGCCATCAATGTATTGATAGCGAAAAAAAATAAGACATCATTCTGTGACATGCTCACTGTCATATGGCGCGCTGTCGTATGCTCGCTATCCCCTGCTTGTTTTCTCAAGTTATCTTCGTTAATTACGGTGTAGCATCTTGATTCAGGAAATCCTCGTTTCACGTTCGTTACGAATAGTCACAAATTACAAAATTCCCGTCCCCCTTACTCGCAATACTCAATTTTAGTATTTTTTCTATTAAAATTAAATAACTTTCTAATTGTCAGTACCATGTTTTCTGGAATCATAAATTCATTAACCCTAGATTAGTCACCTATGAGGAAAACCCCGCCACGCCTCGTTTTTCTTTAAAAATTCAGAAATTCATTTCCTCAAAAAATTCCAAAAAATTTGACTTTGTCAATTGAAGCGTCTAAAAAAAAGTAGTAATTTTTAAGACAACATATTTCCCAAAATTCCTAAAGAAAACAAATTATTTCGGACAGATAAATTATTTTTTTCCCTGTTAACTGAAATTGGCCATGACGCGACGTCGCCAGAAACCCGCTAAACGCGCCCGGGCATTGCAGAATGAATTCGGCAACGCTAAAGCCTAAATAACACGGCGGGAAATCCCCACGGAGGTGACTAAGTCGCAGGGTCGCGTTTGGAGACCAGACTAGGGTTAAAAGGTGCAAGGGTACTTTTTATGCACAAACAAAAGGGGTCGGAGGGAAGAGTAAATTGAAACCGACCATTCAGTATTAATCTATTATTCATTCATATACGTTAACATACAACCATGTTGAACAGAGTACGATTGCTCTTTTATCCTGGAGATAAGATAAAAAACATAATGCGGCACCTAACAACGAATTATTCATTATGTCAACGGCATCAATAAAGTTTCAATCATTTTCTTTCTCTTAATTCTTTCCTATGGTAGCCCATCGAAGAAGTAACCGCGATGAGAGACTCTCCAGTAGCCCAACTACAAAGCTCGCCGACGCCACACTATCCTTGCACTCCTTATTATCGATTACTAAATCATCAATTATTCTCAATTATTAAAAAAAGACGCGGAACTGTGGAAATAAGCATCCGCTAATGATAGCAAAACAAATCAGTAAAATCAAATTATCAAAACCTATAGTCCCAACTACGGCAATATCTACTGAAATCGGTCTCAGACACAAGCTCAATGATGGCTCCGATAACACGATCCTCTTGCGTTTGCCACTTGATAGCCCCAGGATGAGTGATTTTATGCTCCAGCACTTTATGCATTTCTTCTCGGAGTCTCTGAATCATCCTACCTGTTGACTGGTTGCAGGGAAATGACAAGGATTCACCCAAAATGATCTGAGATCTCTGACCTTGAGGTCTTACGGTGCACTCTGGTGCCGCTAAAATCAGTGCTGCTTCACTAACAAAAGTTGTGTCGTGTAAGAAAATAGCACCGGACTTTTGTTTCAGGAAGTACGTCACATATGGCGACGGTAATTGCGTTATCTTTGAATTAATACTGCGAGGATGAATTCTCACGGGTCCATCCTCAGATGTTTTCACATTTAGCAGGACCCCGTCAGGCCCCCGCCATTCTGCGTCTACGATCGCCACATTCGGATATAGTGCTGCGCAAATAATTGCTTTGACCATCGCCGTGTTGTGGGAATTTCTGTTGGCACTTGCGTCTTTCGGGTTGTCACTCTCCAGAAACTTCATCTCATGCAGATGGCCCGCAAATTGTCTCTTCATATCAATCAATAACTTCAGAGTATTCCGCGATAAAAAATTATCATGGCAAAAATCTCCAGCTGCCCTCTTTCGTAAAGCTCTCTCGTATTGCCTCAAAGCTTCTGCAAGAGCAATGTGATCACTGTATTTGTCCACACCAAGATTGAATTTCGCCTTCTTCGCCTCTTCCTCCTTATTAAGAGGACAGAGGAAAGGTTCCTTGAATGCTAGACTCGCTGCGATCCCGAAGACCGGGTCCACACAGGAGAAAAAGGACGCCAACAAAATCATTTTCCCAGTTCGAGGATCCAGAGGTAGTTTCGCAAGATGATAACCGAGTGGAGTCAAGTTCTCATCACTATCAAGGGCGTTTAAACTTCTCAATAAATCAAGTGCCAGATGAATTGCCTTATCCTCTGGGGGATCCATGAGTCTTCCCAGGAAAACTTCGGCTTTTCCAAGTTGTAGCATTTTCACTTGTAATATGACTTGCTCCAGAGGGGTTCTTAATATCTCTGGGGGTGGGAATTGCTTGAACGTCTGTTCTCTAACTCTGGTGTATAATCTGTAAACTTCACCAGGCTGAACTCTCCCAGCTCGACCCTTTCGTTGCTTAGCATTTGCAATGCATTCCCACTCAGATTCGAGAGTCTCAAGCTTGCTGCCAAGATCGAATCGCGTTAATTTACTTCTCCCACAATCCACGACATAAACAACATCTTCGATTGTGATAGACGTCTCAGCAATTGATGTGGCGAGGATTATTTTCCTCACGCCCTCAATAGGAGTCTCAAAAATCAATTTCTGATCAACTGTTGGGAGCTTTGAATGTAGAGGATAAATGTGGAATTTATCGGCGGGGAATTGCTCTGCATTTAGAAGCCGTCCGTTTAGATTTGAAATGTCCAGCATGCCTGGTAGAAAGACAAGAATGGCTCCTGGTCCTTTCGAAGCAGAAATCCACACCAAAAGCTCTTCTATAAGTTCTAGGTTCAAGTCTTCACTTTTCCAATTTTTGAGTTCATTAATGACGCGCAAAGGGTATGATCTTTCAGCCTCCATTTGCTTTACAGTGGGTTCGATGAAATCCGTGAAAGTCTTAGACTTCTCATTCGATTTAAGGAATTTCCTTAAATTATTTCGGCCCTCTGATGAAGGGAATCGAAAATCTGCTAGCAGCACCAGGATGTCCTCGAGATAAAACTCCTCCACTGGATAAATAAATCCTGGGATGTGAATATTAGGACAATCGTCGTAATAATGAGCAAATGTTTCAGAGTTTAGAGTGGCGCTCATTAAGACAACTTTAAGGTCTGGTCTCTTCGGAATGATCTGCTTCAAAAGTGTGATGATTAAATCGCTGTCTGTACTTCGTTCATGAATTTCGTCAAGTATTATGTGAGAGAAATCACGCAATGCAGGATCACTCCTCATGTACTGAAGGAGCAGTCCAGTTGTGCAGAAGAGCATGCTACCATAATCCCTGGAGACTATCCTCTCCAATCGTATTTGATAACCCACTGATCTTCCGAGAGTCTCTGCACGCTCTGCTGCGACTCTCTCAGCAACGGAAATTGCAGAGATCCTTCGTGGTTGTGTGCAGACAATTTTTGTTGTACTTCCTCTACCTTGTTTAATCTCGTCATCGAGGATGAATTGAGCTACTTGTGTTGTTTTTCCGCAGCCTGTCTCTCCGCTGATTACCACAACTTGATTCCCACGAATGAGATCAAGGATTTCATCTTTCATTTTGTAAGAAGGCAATTTCGCACGAAACTCTTGCATTTCTTTATAGTTGTCGAGGGATTCTCTCTTACATTGCTCATCTTTCAATTTTTTATTCAATCTATCATTTTGAATGAGCTTGCAGCTCATTGATAAAGATCTCAACAGATTCTCTTGAAAACTTCCGGAAACAATATCAAGGAATTCTCGTTTGAATTTCGAATCTTCGATGTGGCTGTATTTGTCCTCAGAGTCAGCAGCCTCTTGGTCGTTTGAGTCTGGATCGTTTGAGTCGGATTCCCGGGGGTAAGGAGTTTTTGATAGCGACAAGAGACTATTAATGCTTCTCTGGACCATTGGATCAAGGTGGAAGTAGCGTTCTCTTCGTCCATAAACACGAGCCCTGCCACCATATCGAGTAGTATCATAGCTTCTCAACCGAAGTCCACGTCCTCGACCTCTAGCTCGACCGCCTCGAGAGGAGCTCTGGTGCTCTGAATGACTGCTGGCGCCTCCGTGACTGCTACATGGAGAGGGTCCACGATGTGAATCTCCTATCAGACAGAGGAGGCAAGGTTAATTGTAAAAATATCCGTGTGCCTCTGGGTTTTTTAATTTGTGCATTGATAATTATTTGATTATTTACAGTAGACTATTGCTAGTTGCACGCCAGGGATGCGAAAAAATGACATGACACGTCACTCTGACCGGTCATATGACATGTCAGTGACAGTCATGTGACACGGCCAACCATAACAATTTATTGTCACATGACACACGTGACTGTTTTACCCTGTCACCGTCACATCTCATCTAATTTGTGACACCCCAGGTGGCGGCGACTAATTCGAAATTCAAAAATTCCACGTGATTACCTCCATGCATGGACAATAACAAAGCGTCAAATGGGGACGCTAAATAACAAGACGCCCTCTATGAATGTCTGCGTTAAGGGTGCACATCTACGATACACAAGCAAATGGGGGGTTGTGTGAGCGCGTGTGTGTGTACCTCTTTGACGGCCATATTGGCAAAAAACAACGCCCTCAACGATATTTCCTGTTCCCAAATGCGTGTCAGTCGTATTTCAGTTTGAAAAAGAAAAATGAGTGGTGAGTTTCTTGACCAAGTGTCATTTTTCTCATTGGGATTGGTCGACCAGTGGAGATCAATGAATAAAATAAATGATTTCACACCAATTTTTCATCACAATTTTTGATATGATATTCACCTGAAAATGACACAGAATTTTGAAACGGAATAACGAATCTCGTTTGGAATAAATGAATCATTCTATCAGTGTAATTACACCCTATTGTTAGAGTTTTTTATATCAATGGAATTTTGATCATAAATTGAATGACGGTCGAACAAACATTGACACGTGTTTTACGTCCCTTTGGCTTTCAAAAAGGGGCGGAGGTGGTACTTACGCCGCTTTGGATCTATGGCGACAATATGTACTCTGCGAATTTTATCAGATAATTCAATTGACGAATTAAATATTTTTCAAATTTTTCCGGTCAACCAGTCGATGGCAAGATGAATAAAACGACATGTTGCGGCAATTCCCTCGCATGGTGACCAGTCTAGGGTTAACTACTACCATGATTCGTTAATAGTTAGCGAATCGTGATAGTAGTTAAAAAGCCTAGTCAACAGCAACTAAATCCTTCTATCTGTGCAGGAATCGAAGAATTCTTTTCTCATCAGTATTGAGGTCACTCTAGACACAGCGTGATGAGAAATAATGAAATCTTGATAAATTTACGTTAGAGGGAAAATTTAGGTTTTGACCTCATCCAATCAGATCAATTAATTATGCAATTGTTGATTTTTGCTTCCCAATGGAAGCCTTGGTTTTGGCCGATTTTTCTTTGTCTGGAATGTTATGAAACGTCAAAAGATGATGTTTTTGGCGCCATGTATGTATGAATCCAACAAATTGGATTTTGGTGATTAATTTTTCGAAAATTCAACATAAATACAGTGAAATTTGTAAATAAAAATCTGAAATTTTAGCTCAGTATAGCTATCAATGAGCTCAACATTGGCGTGCGGTTTCAGCCTGGTCGGTCCCGTAATTTCTGAGATATAACAACTTGTTTCAATTTCGTTTTTCCCCAATATCTCAAAAATTACTGCATCGATTTCAATTTTTTTTTTCAAAATAGGGAATTGCTACGAATCCATTTAGAAGCTTACTACCAATGGAATTGGAACGAAAAAAAGAAATAGACTAATAACACAAGTAGTAACGGTCACATGCCTTCTGTCGGATAGGCTCGTACCCCTGCTTGTTTTTCATAATAAAAGATTCACAATCTGATTTTTGTTTATTCTACTCGACGTCATCTCATCGGAATTTTTTATTTACTTCATTCAAATTTACTCATTTCTACTACCGATGCTCCAACAAATCTAAGAAAATACATAACGAGTACTATCAAAAATCCCCATTAATTTTCGAGTGGGTGAAGTGAGGTCAGGGGTTAACCGATTTTTCATCCAGTGAAATTGTCTACCTTGAGGAAATATTGTTAGAAAAATCTGGATAAGTGCTTTCAGCAATTACCTCCTGCTCCATGATTTCGAAAGAGTCTCCGGAGGTCTGAACGATTGTTGGATTCACCGTGATGGCCACCTCGGGAGGGCTTGCGGCCTCGATCACCCCCTGGGCAAAGAAAGATGGATTGATTATGAAAATACGTAAATGACCTAGCAAACCTGTGTTCTCCTTAATCACAATGCGAAGAGGACTGTTTGTAATAACAATTGAACACCTTTGAATAAGAAAAACAGCTCATAAATAATGTTTGAACAAGAGCAGGAGATGAGTAGGGGAGGGTGGGGTAAAATGAACACTTTTGACTTTTTTTGAAATGTTCATCACGTGTTGAATTGCTCATGAAATGGAATTATTTTATTTTCCAATAGAAAGAACAATGATTCCTCTTGGTGATGAGCACAGACTGAGCTCAATTGATAAATCTGTTTGTGAGTTATGAATAATTTAAAAAAAATCAAAAGTGTCCATTTTACCCCATCCTCCCCTACAAAATTTTATACAGATACCGCATGGAACTAGTGTGAGTTTTGAAAAAATGTCCACACATTCTCCGAAATGCAATGTAATTTGTAGCAAACATGCCATACTATATTTTTTATAATTATTTTTTTTTAGTCTCTTGACATTTCATCTGTTTATTTGTTAGATAATCTCCGATTTAACAATGATTACATTTTTTTTTGCAATTTGTTGTAAATCGATGATTATTTAGGAATTTTCGCAAAAATTTCGCGAGATCTATTTTATGGCCCATCTAATCCCGTATGAACAAATTCAATAGAAAAACTTAGTGAATTCGCTAGAAAATTCTATTGGAATTCTTTCGAAATTCTATTTGTTTTTTTGCGCTGATTCTATGAGATATTTGATAGGAAAAAGTCAACAGATTTCGATTTTTCTATACGAATATTCTCTTGGAATTTTTCTATAAAAATACTTGGGCATGAAATTTTTGCACTCGAATCCTGTAATGCAAAAAAAAAACAAATTGTAGTGGAAAAACTTGGGAAATCCGAGCCCAATCATTTTAATAGAAAAAAATGTCAAGAGAAAAATTCCAACAGAAAAATCGAAATCTATTGATTTTTTCCTATGAAATATCTAATAGAATCTGCGCAACAACCAACAGAATCGTAATGGCCCGGTGGCCTGGCGTAGTGGTTAAGGCCGTTGCCTCACAACGGATAGGTTCCAGGTTCGATTCCTGGCCGGGTAGAATGGTGAGATCTAACCATTTTTAAAGTCTTGATCAATCGCCATATAGTCTCATCAGACTCGAAGCGATATAAAAAAAGCATAAAAAAAAAAAAAAAGAATCGTAATGAGAACTCCCTAGAATTTCAATAGAATCCCCATAGAATTTTTACAGAATTCAATAGAATTTTCTAGCGAATTCGCTAAAGTTTTCTGTTGAATTTTTTCATACGTGATTTATTGTAATATAACTTTGTTCCTTATAGAATATTTGTAAATAGGATTGATGAATCAGAGTTAGGGGTGTGCACGAGACTCACACGAGACTTCACTTTGGAGGGATCTTCTCGCTCTGAAACAAGATGGAAATTTACCTTCCGTTTTCACGACTCAAAAAATTTATCTCCTCTCGCTTTCTCTTTTTTCCTATTTTTAACGCGCACCAGACCGAGACTGGAACCGAGACCAACCATGAAAAACCGAAAAAAGTGAGGACTGTGGCGAGACAAATTATCTCCAAGTAATGACCAGAGGAGACGATAGTATTCCTTTTGAGACTGAGACAGTCCCAATAATTTCCATATTTTTTTAAAAGCTAGACGATCTCTTCAGAGTGAAGTCTCGTCTGGATCTCGTACGCACCTTTAGCCCCTCACGTACGGGGTCGATGAACGCTTCTTTTCAAAATTGATTATTTCCAAAGCTATGGAGAATAACCTGAATAGACAAACAAAATTGGAAATCGGAATGCTGTAGCTTCAATTAGACACCCGTTTCATAATTTTCCATTCAGTAGGAATAACCGAAGTCGAGTCGTATTGAGTACACACTACGCTTGGTAACAGAAGGGCCCCGTCCGTGATAGGTTAATCATGGTGTATCGGCTCGAAAAAGTTCTATCAATCCCAGTAGATGGATCTATTTCTTGATGTTACAGAATGTTAATAAATATAGGAAAAAAATACCTGATCTTCGGCGCAGAGGAGAATTACCTTTTAATTTATCTGTCTTGGAAAATGTCGACATTTTTATAGATGTTTTCGTTGCTGAAGAACTCAATAAGCGAAAAAAAATATTCACGTTGACTTTAACAAAAATTACAAACTGCTTTGTTTTTTTCAAGATTTATCATGATGCTGTTCGACTGCCATTGCGGTTTGAAAGTCTTTTTGTTTCGGTGCCGGCCGAATTTCCGACAAGTATCGATGTGAAACACAGTTTTCTGTATCAGTAAATGCAAAAAATCCCGGTGGACAAGCTGGGCACTTCTCACAGAATTGGTAGATTTTTACACTCGATTTTAACTTGAAAAATTATATTATCGCTATGTGGGGAATATTAAATCAAACTCATAAAATATATTTGAACAAAATGCATGATTATCAATATATTGAGGAATGCTCGGATGAATATAAATTGTGAATTAATTATACGTCTAAAACGGATGAGTGCTCTCGCTCACGGTTCCGGGCGAACTGTGCTTGACGCCACCTCCTTGTGGAGACTTCAAATTCTGATTCTTCATTTGTTTCTCAGCGTCAACCTCAGGGTTGCGCATCTGTCGATAACCGCAGTTTTTTATGTGACATTATGAAAAACCCGTAATGTTCGTAATAGATGTTAAAAATGTAAAAACCAGCCGACGTTATTTTTTGCATGAAAAAAAAATGTACTTGAATTGAGTATAAAATATGCTTGAGTCCAGAATAATCCTATTTTACTAAAGATGAACGAAACGTGAAATTGTTTTATATCGAAATATCTCGAAACGGCCTGACCGCTAATCCTCAATTCTGATTGGTCAATATGTGACACGAAGTTATTCACAAAAAAAAACACGCGGCATTTTCACATTCTTCAGTGACATAATTTCACATATATATATGACGCGAAAATGATGTGNTATATATATATATATATATATATATATATATATATATATATATATTTTTTCACATGTATATATATCATCGGTGAAATTAATAAATTTTGTCCTTTTATGGAGACCGATTATTTAAAAAAATTAAAGATAATTAATTGAAAATGAAAAATTCTTTATAGATTCTTTTACTCTACTTCGCTATTCACTTCAATCATTAGTCGAATTCTCTTTGATTCATTATCAATATTTATAAGGTATTCATGAGGAAATGAAATTCAATGAATTCCATTTCTTCGTTTTAACAAATGAATAGATCAGCGCGCGCGAGTACGCGCGCATAGATCTTGTATACTTAAATCGAGTATAAAATATACTTGATTCAAGTATATTACTCTTGATTCAAGTATATTTTGTACTCAAGTGGGGGATGGGTATTTCAATTCGGAGATGATTGTTTTGTATCAGGCCGGGTTACAGCCAACCCTCCTAAGTGTAATGCAAAGGTCAGACACTAAGTGTCAGAATATAAGGGTCAAAATACACAGAGAAAAAAGTGGATTAGCATTAGATAAAAATTTCTAAATTTTAGAAACCGTGATTTCTAACCTTCAGATTTCTAAAATAAAGAAACTTTTTCCTCAGTTTTAGAAAAAAATCGTTTAAAATTAATGATCAAAATTGGGGTTAATTTTGAACCAAAAAACACTTAATTTTAGAAAAAAAAATTTCTGAAATCTAGAATTTTTTTTTATTTTTGAGGGTGGATTTTGCAAAGAGTGTGAAGGGGGTTGTAAATTGAGAATTCACAACCAAAAAAATCGAGTCGGTGAGTTTTTCAAAAACATCTCCGAAACTAAGGGAGATAGAGAATTTTTAGTGAAAACTTGGGAGGAGGGAGGGATTTTAGTAGATTTTAGAAAATCCAATTCTTAAGCTTCATCCCTGGTGGGATCCTAAACACTAACGAATTTGGGGCTTGTTTTTAGGAACAAATATTTTCCAAAACGAATGCTGAATTTTTCTTAATTGTAGAAAATTTTCAGATTGAACTAAAAAATTGTGGCTGAGGTATTTAAAGGGCTTAAGTGCCCCATACATAGGGAGGGGTGTCCAAATATCGGTAATTTCCGATGTGAGGAGGGGGGATTTTGCAAAAAGAAGGAGGGGACTTTAGCGAATTTTTTCCTGAAAATTTGGGGGAGGGGGTGAGCATTGGGAATTCACAACCAAAAAAATTGAGTCAGTGAGTTTTTCAAAGATATCTCCAAAACTAAGGGGAAAATAGGGGGGGGGTTGTACATCGAGAATTCAATAAAAGTCTCCTCCCCCCCAATTTTCCTCCTCCGTCTCCCTACCAAATTTTCAGTAAAAATTCGCTATCTCTCTTAGTTTCCGAGATATTTTTGAAAGACTCACTGATTCAATTTTTTGGTTGTGAATTCATAATCCCGTCTCCCCCTCTGTAAAAACCTCCCTCAAAAATTACAAAAAATTTCTAGATTTTAGGAAATATTATTTCTAAAATTAAGTATATTTTGGTTTAAAATAATCCTCATTTTAATCCTTGATTTTGAACAATTTTTTTCTAAAAAGTCAGTTTTCAGTTTTCTGAAATCTAGTTTCTAGATTTTAGTTAAAATTTTATCCATTTCATTAATGGATAATAATCCTGATAATCATAACACTAATGAACAAATGGGAGCTTGATAAGTTTTTTTTAGTCAAGATAATTTGCTTGTGAGTGTGACACTTCGACTATATGTGGTTATTGAGCCACCCCTCTCTCTCTCTCCGCACAATTAATTAATTCAAAAATCAATTAAAAATTAATTGAAAAATTGATTAAAAATTAATTAAAAATTTTAATTAATTAAAAATTTGATCCTAGGAAAAGGTTTGTTCAAAATAAGATTAAGTAAACCGGATCCGAACCTTATCATTTTTTTTTAATTAACCCCGTTCAAATGAAAATCAATTGCATCAAATCCGAATCGGATCAAATTAAGTTTAGGCAATCTGTCCTCAGACTGAGATCATGTCTACCTGATCAGAACTACATCTGAGCCCGTCTGAAGTTTTTGGGATCCGATCGAGTGGATCAACACTTGGTCAGCTCCTCATCAAGCGTCACCTGATCATGCCTACTTGACCAGAACTTGATCTGAACTCGCCGTTAGTTTTCGGGATTCGATCGACTGGATCAAAACTTGGTCAGCTCCTCATCAAGCGTCACCTGATCATGCCTACTTGACCAGAACTTGATCTGAACTCGCCGTTAGTTTTCGGGATTCGATCGACTGGATCAAAACTTGGTCAGCTCCTCATCAAGCGTCACCTGATCATGCCTACTTGACCAGAACTTGATCTGAACTCGCCGTTAGTTTTCGGGATTCGATCGACTGGATCAAAACTTGGTCAGCTCCTCATCAAGCGTCACCTGATCATGCCTACTTGACCAGAACTTGATCTGAACTCGCCGTTAGTTTTCGGGATTCGATCGACTGGATCAAAACTTGGTCAGGCTCTCATTAGGCGTTACCTGATCATGCCTAGGGGAGAATGTGCGCTCAGCGGGTAATACCGCTCACCCGATTTTCTCCACAACCATCAACTTGAAAATGTCTTTCTGTTCCTATCACAATCTATCTGTATTATTAGCTCTCGTTTATCGAGATATATACTCTATATATACTCTATACATTCCTTTATCGAATGGGGCAAACGAAATTTCGATTCATTGAATTACTGATTTGTTATTAACAAATTTCAAACAATCGCCGATCTTGGCAACCGTTTGTACTATCGAACTGAGATTACTCTTAAAAATTCCAGAAAAATCTATATAAAAGAATACCGTAATTAAACAACTTATTGGTGAAAGCTCAAGATTATCATTAAAGTTAAGATGATATGTTTTAATCATCAGTGTAGAAATTGTTGCGTATTGAACAGTGAATTCGAGTAGACGAGAAGTCGCCGGCCGATGAGGACACACTTTAAAACATTTAAAACATTCTTGAAGGTATGGAAGCCATTATATCCCCATTTAGCTGATTCTTTTACTTTAGATCCCACCACGAAAGTCGAATTTCCCTTAAAAGTTCAGCAATTGGCCTGTTCACCCTACCCCATCGGGTTTTTACGATTCGCCGAGGGCTAAGAAAAACCTTACTTGAGGGAAAAACCTTGACCACCCGGGTAGAAATTCAACCGGGGATTCAGCCGCAACTCGGGTGAGCGCGAGCTCAGCCTCGGCTTGCCGCTTGACCCGAGTTCACGCCGCGACACGCCGCTCCATACCGGCTCACAGTCGAACACTCATCAGATGGCATAACCCGGCACTTGAGTTTGAGCTGTGGCTCAACGCTTAGAACTCAGCTCCGATTGAGTCATGTCGTGTCGAGTGGAGGGTGGAATAGAATGATATTTATGCATTTTTAGAATATCGATTTTAAATTTGAATACTTTGGAAAATCCTTGTCTTCTTACTATAAAAAAAAATGGAATTCCACTGAACTTTCTATAAAATTTGAAATTTACTGATTTTTCCCTCTGTCATCGAATATAAAACCTGGCACTTTCTCTAAGAATTCCTATTGAATTTCTATTGGAGCTCTATGAGAATTCTATTTAAGTTTTATTGCAATTCTATTGAAAAATTCTATTTTTTTTGCGTCAATTCCATTGAAAATTATGCAACTTTCCCCTGCATTTTTAATAGATATTTGTTTGTAGAAAAAAATCCATTGATTTTTCTAGATAATTTATTCTGTTAGGATTTCTTCCACAGAAACTATTGGGCATGAATTTTCCAAGTTTTGTTCCTGCATTTGATTAAAAGAACAGAAGAAAAACTGAGCGGAAAAAACTTAGAAATCTTACGCCTAAGAAAATCTATAGGAACATAAAAACCTATTTACTTTCTTGCACCAAATTTTACCTTAACAAAAAGACTCTATGAAGTTGCATAATCTCCTATAGAATCGGCGCAAGAAACGAATAGAATTCTAATAGAACTTCCAGAGAATTCTCATAGAATTCCAATAGAAATTTAATAGAAAGCGCTAGGTTTTTCTGTTGAATTTTTTCATGCGTGTTATTTTGGCATACCTGTATTCAACATTTCCCTAATAAATCGTAGAATATTCTTAGAACTCGTAGGCCTATCGAAAAATGAAGAGTATCCTCTCCTGTAGTGTTGATAATTAATAATAAAGGCTCGTTAACGTTTTTCAAGTGATTATTTTTCTTGATTTTGTTTGTTGTATTCGCGAGAAAAAAGAAAGTTTTGACTACGTTTCAGTGAATTGTTCAACCTTGTATTTTCAGATTAATCCCATTCGATTAGTTAATATCACGTTATTTCTGATGAGCTTGTGATTGTTCATCTGAAAAAGCATGCCATCTTCACATTTATTCGATTGTTTTTTCGCTCAAATCACGATGCCATCGGACCTGTCAAATCATTATTGAGGTTAAGTATACTGGGATTGAGTAATTGGAGATGAACCTGAGGTTGAGCAGTGGCCATTCAACTAAAGCCCGGCGAAGCGTTTCGGGTAATAGTTTAACGCTG